CTCCTCATCCTCCTCCTCCTCCCTCCTCCCTCCTGCCCCCTCGCCCCCCCTCGTCTGGAAGCAGCCCTCTAGACCTCCTTTGCGGGTGCGCGTCCTGGCCCCGGAAGCTCAGCAAGCCTGGAAATCATGTGAGGGAGAAGCCGCAAACGACCGCTCTGACGCTGCGCAGGAGCGGCACTAGAGGCCTCCTAGATGGGGTCCGAGTAGATGGGGTCGGAGGATCCCGCCGCATCGCCAACGCATCGGCGACGTCGGCGGTGTAGCGACGAAACCGGCAGGGAGAACATCGGGCTCCGCATCAAGCCGCATCGCCGATGCATCGGCGATGCGGCGCAATCCTCCGACCCCATCTCTACTTCGACTCCACTTTGGAGGCCTACAGGCACAGGTGCCAGGCGCGCACGCGCAGGGCCCCGGACGCTCCGCGGCGGCCGCCGAGGCCTGCGCTCCCAGGCCGCGACGGTGCGGGCGTGCTCCTCGGCGCTGGAGCGCAGCCTGCGCGCCGCTCGGAGCTGGCGCCCGGAGGCGGCGGGAAGGGGGGGAGGAGGGGGAGGAGGAGGGAAAGAAGGAGGAGGCGGAGGAGGAAGATGAGGAGAAGGAGAAGGAGGCGAAGGAGGAGGAGGAGGAGAAGGAGGAGGAGAAGGGGGGGGGAGGGGAAGGGGGCACAGGAGGAGGAAGAGAGGTACGGGGATGAGGATGATCAACTCTCCACTCCGAGGTCCTGCCTTGAAAGGAAGAGCCCGAAAGCCCTTGCTCTTCTTGGCGATGGCTCGGGCCCGAGCAGCGAAGAGCGTGTGAAGCTGCCCACTCCCCCACCGCGTATGGGCACGCAGAAAGTAGGATAAGCAATGGCAAGATCATGCACGAGGGGGACAGACTAGAGCTGGGCATCACTCAGGGGAGGGGTCGTGCACAGAATCAGCATATCTTCAGGCGACCACTCTTCTCAAGGCAGGTACGCGAGGAGGGCAGGGCAGGCAAAGTAAGGGGATTATAATGATGCTGCTGACGATGATTATGATGATGATGGTAAATATGACCATGCTGCTGCTGCTGATAATGATGATGCTGATGATGATGATGACGATGATGAGCGTGATGATGGTGCTGGTGGTGGTGGTGATGATGCTGATGGTGATGATGAGGATGACGACGACGATGCTGATGATGATGACGACGATGATGATACTGATGCTGATGGTGGTGGCGGTGATCGAATAGCAGCTGCCAGGGCTCGGTGGTGATGATTATAAGGTGATGGTGATGGTGATAGCGATGGCGATGGCGATGAAGACGATGCTGATGTTGACGAGGATTATGTTGATGATACAGGTGCGGTTGACGACGATACTTATGATGGTGATGATGGTGATGCTGAGCATAATGATGATGCTGATACTTATGATGATGCTGAACCTGATGACGATGACGATGACGATAACGATGACGATGACGATGATGATGGCGATGATGATGATGACGATGATGATGATGATGATGATGATGATGATGATGATGATGATGATGATGATGTTGATGATGATGATGATGATGATGATGACGATGCTTATGATAATGACGATGAGGCGGATACTGATATCGTAGATGGTAATAACGATGGTAATACTGATGTCCCCGCTGCTGATGCTGATGCTGGTGGTGCGGGTAACGGTGATGATGGTGATGATTGGTATGGTGGCAATGGTGATAAGGCTGCTTATGATGATGATACTGATGATGATGCTGATGCTGATGATAATAATGATCGTGATGATGATGGTGCTGATGCTGATACTAATGATGCTGCTGTGAATGATGATGGTGGTGGCGATCATGATGGTGATGATGTGAACGAGGGGGAGGAGGAGGAGGAGGCGGAAGAGAGGGAGGAGTAGGAGGAGAAGGAGGAGGAGGAGAAGAGAAAGGAGGAGATATCAGGTGGAGGAGGAGGATATGATTGGGATCAGAAGAGTGTCAGTTGACATGTATGTGTATATGTATGTATAAGTGTAGAGATGGAGAGAAAGAGAGAGAGAGAGACAGGGAGAGGGGGACGGAGAGGCTATTCCTACCTACAGGCCGACACCAGGGGAGCCACCTCCCTCGAAGCGGTCTCCCGTCCCACAACTCCTGGTGTTGGCTGTACCCTCCTTGGCCACCACCGCGTGAGCCTCACCACCGTGAAAGGCGGACACACCTCGAAATGAACTATCGCACCTCTTATTCCTTCTCCTCTTTCTCTTCCTCCTCCTCTTTGTCGCCCCCCTACTTTCCCATTATCCTGAAACTCCTTCTCCTGCCTGTCGCTCCCCCTTCCCCCTCTTCCTTCTCCTCATCCTCCCCCTCCTCCTCCTCCTTCTCCTCCTCCTTATCCTCCTCCTTCTTGCTCCCCTATCGCCTTCCTCCTGCTCGTCCTCCTCCGTCTCCTCACTCTCCGCCTCCTCCTCCATCTCCCGTTCCTACCCCATCCGCATCGTCGAACGCCCCTTCTTCTCGGACCCATTATCCTCCTCATCGTCCGCGGCAGCTGACGGATCCACCCTGGAATCCTCTCTGCGGGGAGTCGATGAGCGGTCCAAAATGGCTATTCTGCCAACGGAGACAAGCCGGAGCCGGACTGAACGGACAACGACCAATGTGGCTGCTCCTTCCGCTTGCTCCTGCTGCTGGTCGGCTGCACCTTACGTGCGCTCACCTGGTCTGCCCAGAAGCTCACTTTGGGGATTCCCGACCACTTCTGGACGGGGTAGATAGACGGCGCGCAGGAGATGCCGTCAGACCGAACGCAGGCCGACTGCCATCTCGGAGGTTCCCACGGGCCTTCTGGTGGACGTGCGGGGGGCAGGAGCAGCAGGGCTGACGTGCGGGGAGGAGCCTCCCCCGTCCGCGGGCCCCCTGGTACGCTTGCAGCCACGTCTGCAAGGTGTTCGAGGCCAACTCGTATGACGAACGAACACCACACATACACATACACGTACACGTACACATACATATACGCACACACACCCATACCCATAGGGGGGACGAGCGGGGCTATGGGTGCGTGCTGCCGGATGGGGCTCCACGCTCGAACGGGAGCCTCCCCAGGGATCCGGCAACCCGCACCCATACCCATAGCCAGTCATCATCCCTCCGACCTCCCTGCGGGTATGGGTGTGTCTTGTTCGCTCGTCATCGTAAGCGTACCGTCCGTGCGATCAGACACGTTGCCGTAGCGTGTCGCGGCAGTGGCCTCGGCGATACGCCATGCCCTGCAAACGGATGGCGTGCCGCCATGAATCACAGGGCGGAAGGCGGGGGAAAACTCGGGACGTCGACGCCTGAGGCGGTTAGCCTGTCGCGCCCAGGCGTGGTGGGCCCGAATCAGCGGAGCAACACGCCAAGCAAAGATCCCCGACCATAGCCTATGCCTGTTTGTACCTCCTCTTGCCTGCTATCTCTGTGGAAGGCCCTGGCCGAGACCAGCTCATCGTCTTTGAATTCCAAACATCTCCACGTGGTCAGGTGGTTCTTCCCCCGCCCCCCACATGGTATAGGTGAATCCACGTGGTACAAACGTTTTTCCAACACCCTGCCACTCAGGCTGATGCGTCCGACACCAAGGACGCGCGGGGCCGACATGAATGGAAAACAATCCACCCGTACCACGCTGAAGATGATTGTGACATCTAAGGGCCAGAGCGCGCTATCACACTCCAAGGCGCACTGGTGCTTACCAACGTCGCAAGCTGACGGTCTCCTCGCCGTGGGGCAGCACGCAGGCACGTGCAGTTACCATCAGCTGGTTCAGACGAGCAACGTCAAGATGCGTGCTGTCATCTTGTTCGGCTGACCGCCTGCGTCTGCTGCGCTGCGCGCGCACATTCATGTGACGTTTCGCTCACACGTTTATCAAGTTACCGCATAAACGGATGGACCCACATGCTTTAAATTAGAAATGACAGAGACCATGCAGACGGCCCGCAATGAAGTATTGACATACCTCTGGCGCATTTGTCTGGAGACAAACCCGACGGTTTCTTGAAAGGCGGCCTCGCTTACACGCGTGCCCGTCGGAGGTGAGGGGGCGAGATCGAAGTGGAACGGAGAGCCCCCTACCGGGAAATCGGTTTCGGTTTCGTGTTCGTGCGTGCCGTGCGTGCGGGCGAAGCAAAGCTGCGTGGGCGGGCGAGAACAAAGTCTCCTCGGCTGAGGCGCCGCCGGACCACAAATTATTCCTTTCCGGGGGCCGGTGACCCGCGGTGTCCCGCCGGTGTCCCGCCTGCGGCTGAGGCGCGGCCAAACCAAATGATTCCTTTCCGGGGGCCGGTGGCCCGCGGTGTCCCGCCGGTGTCCCGTCGGTGTCCCGATGATGATGATGATGATGATGATAATGATGATGATGATAATGATGATGATGTCGATGATTTTGATGAGATTGGTGATGGTGATGGTGGTGATGATGATGGTGTCCCGATGATGATGCTGATGATGGTGATGATGTTGACGATGTTGATGATGATGATGGTGATGGTGGTGATGATGATGGTGTCCCGATGATGATGATGATGTTGATGGTGCTGTTGCCGGTGATGATGATGATGGTGTCCCAATGATAAGGAGCTTGGTGATGTTCATGATCCTGGCGATGCTGATCATGATGTGATGATGATGGGATGATGGTGGTGGTGAAGGTGTCCCGATGATGATGATGATGCTGATGCTGATGATGATGTTGTCGATGATGATGGTGATGCTGATGTCAGAATGATGATGATGTTGTTGATGATGATGACGATGATGGTGTCCCGATGATGATGATGTTGCTGGTGATGATGATGATGATGGTGTCCCCATGATAAGGAGTTTGATGATGGTGATGATCCCGACGATGCTGATGAATATGAGATGATGATGAGATGATGGTGCTGGTGATGGTGTCCCGATGAAGATGATGTTGATGATTATGTTGTTGAGGATGATGGTGGTGATGATGTCCCGATGATGATGCTGATGGTGGTGATGGTGATGATGACGATGATGGTGTCCCGATGATGATGACGATGCTGATAATGCGGATAATGATGAGGTGGTGGTGATTTTGATGTTGGTGGCTTGATTGTGACGGTGACGATTATGAAGTTGTTCATGATGATGTTGTCCCGATAATGATGAGAATGATAGTGATGATGATGATGACGATGATGATGGTGTCCCGGGGATGATGATGTTGATGATGGTGCTGCTGATGATGATGGTACCCGGGTAATGATGAGGTTGGTGATGGTGTTCATGATGCTGATGATATTATAATGGTGCTGATGGTGGTGATCCGATAATGGTGATGGTGTCCCGGTGATGCTGATGTTGATGATGATGGTGGCGATGTTGGTGTCCCGATGATGCTGGTGATGGTGATGATGATGATGATGATGTTGATGGGGTGGTAATGAAGATGGTGTCCCAATGATGCTGATTATGTTGGTGACGTTGATGACGATGATGTTGGCGATGCT